ATGATGAAGGGAAGTGGTCTCGTGATAATTAAATATAAAGTTTTATTATAACATCCTGAAAAACTATACTAGAGCTCTAGTACATATTTTAAAGGCTAAATAAAACTAACATCTATATATGGTCGAAGAGTTTAGGAAAAGCGAATTTTTGCAAAGAACAAATGCTTATTTTTTCTTATTCTTAAGTCATTCGGACTTAAAAAATGAGATTTCAACGCGAAATATTTTAACACCTTTGCTTAAATGTGATCAGTATAAACCCATTTCAATATTAACTATCGAAAAACAGGTATTTCAATATATGTTACTTCATACTTAGAAGTCAACTATACCGTTCACGAAAATGTGTTTATTTAGGCAAACTTTCACTTTTTAGCAGGAATTTTTGTCAAACATATTAAATATTTGTTACTCTTTAATTAGCTAAGTTGGGTAACAAAAATTAGCATACAGCCAAGAGTATTACGTTCGAAAAGGTAACAGAACCTTACACAGTGTAGTGGGTGATAGCTTACCGCAGACAGCAACGGTGATAGTCTGTTTGATATATCACTTTTACCAAAACGATGTCGTAGCATTATTTTTTTATTGATATTAGTTATGCGTTTGCTTATCTAAATCGTTTCACGCCTTGTAAAAATTTTATCGCCATGAAATTAAATCCTTATAATCCCAAAGAGATGATGACTTACGGTTACTTTTATTTTAATTTATCAGTGCCATATTACATAATTCAGTGCTGTACTGATAAAGTTATAAATAAATCTGGCAATTTGTCGTTTAATTCAATTCTAAAAGAATTTGATAATAAAATTTAATAGATATAAAAATGCGTGCTAGTCACATAAAGAGGAAAATATTTTATCTTTTAATAAAATCAATTGAAATCAAGATTTATCTCTTTCATAAAACGCAAACTAGGTAGGAATCTCCAACACTTCAATTAACATGATGTTGTGTTTTTTAATATTGCTTACTAATACAATTTACACCTACTATTATATTTTTGAGGACAACTCACTGATGATCTAACATTTTGGGTAGGTATCTTAAAATGTGGAAAATAATCCATACCTGTGTTTATCAAATGCTAGTAAGAATATTGTATAAACAATAACATAAATAAATAACTTAAAAACATATTTTAATCATTTCAATAATGGTAAAGTATTTTATCTTTTATTTACAAAAGGTAGATATGATTAACTATGCTAGATTGTCAAAACGTTAGACGTTAAACGTTAGTCGAATTCAACACTGAAAATTAAAAAATATATATATTAGTAAACATTTTATTACACTTTATGTATGGTATGGTAAGGATATATAGAATAATAATATCAAAAAGATAACTCGAAATTTCTGACGCTAAGTTGGCAAATTGCAAATCTAGACGACCTATCGGAAAATTATTAATTCTATGTTGTAGACAATTAAATTACCTACAATTTAAGGTACCTAAAATCATATTTCACCAATTTGTTAACTGTAAAAAAAAATCGAACGATGTGCATTATTGCAAAAAACGATGGATGGAAGTTGATGAAATTTATGGAGAAAACGGTCAATCCAATGACCAACATGTGTGCCAAAGACCGATTCGATTGACAGTGAAATTGTTGCTCCAGGTATTTGTAAATTAGTTTCTTTCGTTTTTTTGCAACTACTAAATGATAATTTTAGAAGAAAATATCGTAAATATAGGTTCTAATTGATCCAATGAAACCACGAAAAAGGAACATATCAAAAAGTTAATAAATTATTGTCCCAGGTCAGGCAAAATCCGCTCAAGAATTCGCTCTTTTTACATTAAATAGAACTCGGCTCACGTTAACGTTTACTGCTGCTAACGCGTTTATTAATTGAACTATCAATATAAAACTTTTTGGAAATAAAAGTTTAACTCTTTAATTGTCCTTAAAATTCCGGTACGATACATCCAATAGTTAATTAGCAATTAACGTTATAAAAAGGGTTATCTTGGGAACAAAGAGGCGTAGGTGGTTTTTCTTCTATTTTAAATTACCGTAAAAATAAGCTCTATTTATTGCAAAAATAGCGAATTCCCGATCGGCTTTTGCCTAAACCAGGGGACAATTTATATACAGGGTGTCCATCATAAGAACCGACGCAGAGTAGGTGCATGTAGGGGTACCAAAATATTATAATTTAAAAATAAATAACCAAACCATACAAAGTTGCACCCCTGAGGAGTTATTAGCCCCCAAAGTGGGGCCCTAAATTTCTAAAAAAATTAATATCTCTGTAACACTTTACCGCAAAAGAACCAAATTTGGTACATGTTTTATGTTTATTACTGGTCTTCTTTGACTAAGATTTAAAGTTAATTGAAGCACTACAAGGCGTTCAGTGGGGAGAAAAACCGTATTAACTGAAACAAAATTTTAACAGTGTTTATTAGAAAATAATCGAAAAGTCAGTAGTAGGCAATGAATTTATCTTTCAAACTTGTCAGTTAGTGTTGAGTTATGGGGAAGAAAATAATAAAATGTAAACTGAGTAAATAATTTTGAATGAGGTTATTGCTTTAGTTGTTGTGATATTTATTAAATATGTTGCAGTTAACCCCAAAACCTTTTGTCTAACTCAGCACCATGTACCATTGCGCGTGCCTTTTCAGTAATTGAACGATTCATACGTTCCGCCACTGCATTTTGTTGTGGCGTATGTGGTACAGTTAGGTGGTAAGTTATACCTTTCTGAACACAGAAATTTTTAAATTCATTTGAAAGATATTCGCGCCCATTGTCGCAATATAAATTTACAATTTTCAAATTAAAGTGTGCCTCACTTTTTGCAACAAAGTCCTGAAAGAATTTAAGTACTTCTGACTTATATGTCAACCAATAGGTGACTGTATAATGGGTATATTCATCAACAAAAATTAAAAAATAATTTTTATTATTAATAGTGGGTGGTGTTATAGGCCCACATACATCTGAATGTATTATAAACAACGATCTTGTAATATGAGTTTTATCTGTGGCTTTTTGAAAAGGAAGCCTTGCTTGTTTACCATAAATGCAAGCCTCACAAATGGATTCACTAGGAAAAATTTTCTTAAAATTAATATTACCTTGTGCTACTGCTAGTTTCTTAAGTTCTAAGAATTTTTGTTTTCCAATGTGGCCTAAACGTTTATGCCAAAGCTCATTATTTTCAATTAATGAATTTGTAGTTGCATTGACTTGTTTTACACAAGAGTTGTTTTCTTTTTGTAAAATTAGGAGAGAAGTGAAATAAAATTCATCTGGCTAATTATCAAATTTGAAAGATAAAACCTACTACTGACTTTTTTATTATTTTCTAATGAACACTGTTAAAATCTTGTGTCAGTTAATACGGTTCTTCTTGAAAACCATAAAGTTTTTTAAAATTTAACAAGTGTAAAAAAATTAGAATTAAATTCTGCTGAGAATTAATATTACTATTTTTCAATTCGGTCAATGAAAAAAAAGTTCGGTACAATTTTAGAGGTGAGTACTGCTTCAATTAACTTTAAATCATAATCAAGGAAGACCAGTAATAAACCTAAATCATGTACGAAATTTGGTTCTTCTACGGTAAAGTGTTGCAGAGATATTAATTTTTTTCGAAATTTAGGGCCCCATTTTGGGGGATCATAACTCCTCAGGGGTGCAACTTTGTATATAATTAAGTTTGGTTAAATTAAAATATTTTGGACACCCCTACATGTACCTGCCCTGTGTCGGTTCTTATGCGAGACACCCTGTATAACGCTGTGTTGCACGTCCTACTTTGTTAGTTGTAAAGGGCTAGTTAATTTCAACTTTTTTTCGAAAAAAAAATTTCGAAAACTGATCGTTCGACCTTTATTTTACTAGTAACATATTGGTGAAATATGACTTTAGGAACCTTAAATTGTAGGTAATTTAGTTGCCTATAACATAAAATAACTAATTTTCACATAGGTCGTTAAGACCTTCATGGGCAGTAAAAAAGTGAAAAATCACAAAATTTTGACACATTTGCAATTTGCGTCACTTTTTTCCAGTTAGTTTTTTGATATTATCATTCTACATACCCTTTCCCGCCATAAAGTACAATAAAATTTTGCAATTTTTTTACGTTCAAACTTTAATTCGACTGGACTACATGTGGAAAATGTTATGCCTCTAATATTTTGATATTTGTCACGTTATGTTTAAAATACGTAAGTAATACAAATAACAGTAACGTTAACGAACCATATTTGTGTAAGTAAATTCTTGGAATAATTATACAGTCTAAAAACAAGTGTGACAAGAAGTGCTGAAACGTCCTTTTGGAAAATATTCTTCAACGCACAGTTGTAAAACTTTAAAAAAGCAATCGAGCAATCATATAGGAATAGGAATAACTATTTGTAATTTTTAAAAAAGTATCTCAGACATAACAACTTGAAAAATTAACCGCACATGTATAAATATGAATAGATATAGTAGGTACAGCTTTTGCCTTTTACTACCTTTCTTTTTGATAGATACCCAAACCTAACCTACAAAATTCAGTATTATAAACAATATAAGTTGATCTTGACTAGGTCAGTTTGATAAGAATGTTTGGAAAAATTGATAAAATATTTATAAATTCAGATAAACTCAATAACATTATTATAAAAACAAACAATATTTGCACCAAATTCAGTTCATTTCAGTAAACAGTAACCTCTCTTTTAACTTTATGTATAGTGGCTTAGATAAATTATGTAACACAGATTGCTATAATTTATGTCACTAAAATATACAGGGGCTGCGAAACCAAATATGCATAATAAAAATATTTCAAAATATTGTCCTTCACAGACAGATAAATTGTATCCTTAAAAAAATAACATATGCATAATTAGTTACATCCTCGTATCTGAAAGGTACGATTTAATATTTACTGTGTAAGTCATGCTCAAATATTTAAACCAAAAATATTTAAATAAACAAACGCATACGTGTTCTTATCTCTCTGCTAATAAAATAACTCACTTTTTTACACAGAATTATTTACACAAAAGAATCACAGTATTGCACAAAATTTTGTAAAGGTCCGTTCAACAACGTAGTATCACAATTTAAAAAAGAATTTCTACGATTACTCACTTAAGGCACTCGCACTATGAACGAAACACGGACGAGCACTGCACAGAATTTGTCACAAGTGTGCTTCCAACAGAAGAACGGAAACGTAACAGTCGAACATCGCACATTGTTAAAAGCACCGAAGCAAGAAGTTTACTACCTAACCAGCAATAAAATAAACAGCACGAAATGCGTCAAAGCAGGCAAGGACGCATAGTAATGCTAATGAAACAGTAGACGGTGGATTCTTGGCTTCTAGGCTGCTGGATTTCAAGGGGGCAACCTCTCGACCGGCTAATCTTTTATCTGAATACTGCTTTATCTGTATTCTGCTGTCGTCGCAGAACCTCGGATCTGGAACATCGCCTTACATAAAATTTGATAACGAGACAATTATGTTTGTCCTACGGTAGTCGGTAAAGGTAGGATATACTTCACGGAGATATGCTAAAATTACTTCTATCTTGTCGTTATTAAGGCTAACATCATGTCTGTGATACACACTCAGCTATTATGTGTTAATTTAATTAAGGTGACACAAAATCTGGCAAATTACTTGATAGGATCTCTTTCACTTACATTTACAAAATCACTAGTTTATAATAACATACCGCCCCTTCTTCCTCATTAGTCTTTGACTTTCAGGTTAATCTTGTACTTTGGGTAGAAGTCTCCATCAATATACAGGGTGTCTGCAAAAGGTTTAGAGTTTTCCACCATAGCCAGGAAATAAAATATAATATCTCTTCAAATGATTTGACCAACTTTTATTAGAAAACTGTAAATAATTTGGTTCATACACCAGTTGTCAAGTCGCATCAGTTTAATTTAAGGATTAAAAGGCAACAAAAAATTCCCCTGTTTATCAAAGGGATAGGGCATAACTGACGCCCTATACAAGCAACGACCAAATTAGTTAAACATTCTTATTTGTCATGTCGAAAAACATAATAATGCCATACTGTTCATACATGACAGTTTTCAAAATTATTGAGAAACAAAATAAAATTCAAACATTGAACACCATGTATCTTTGAAACCAACAACATTTGCATAAGGCATATTTGGCTCAATCAACTGATTTTGGCCACCAGCTTCAAGAAGTAGGCTTAGCAGTTGTTATTTTTTTAAGAGAAAGAAACATTATGTAAGATTGATACTTGTAATTCAATTATAATATTAGTCTAACTGGCATAAGTTGCAGTGGCCCTGAATCAAATATAAAGGGATTATAGGTTTAATACTGCATAACAATAATTAACTGTTTATTCCTTTTACTTGTTCATGAAACGGCATTATGTAAGTTCGAAACGCTTAGATTAACAGGCAAGAACAAAAGCCTGGGTAATAGTGGTTTGTAGTTGCTTTTATGTAACACTAAAGGCCGGTTTATATTAGTAGATTAAGTAGAATGCAAAGGTAAAGTGCAAGCACAGTGAATTAGTTTTGTGTAATAAATTTTGACTCTCTTCTACCAAACTACTATAATTTTTCTGTGTGAAGAATGGTTTCCCTAACAAAATTACTATGTATTTAATATAAATCAACTATTTAAACTTGGATTAAAATTTAATAACACCTACATCACAGTTACAGAAATTAACACCACAGTTTAATGATGTTTTCATTAAAAGCCGTTATACAAAGTGCTCCTGAATTTGACTACCAACTTTCTACAGGGTGTTCTTTGATCAAAACTAATAAAAATGTCAAATGGCGATGACGTGTTAGCAATACATATTTTTTAATCTCTTCTACACCTGTTGAAATATCAGTACCAAATTTGATATACCTTAGTGACTGTTGATCACTCATTTACGTATTGTGACAAAAAATGGTTTGAATGAAACCCACCCTTTCAAAGCCAACTTGTAAACATTTTTTTAGCTATTGAAAAGTAAAGTAAAAATTATTGCCGTTGAAAAATGTTGCTAAAGAATGAGGTTTTCTAGTGTTCTAGTGTTCATTCTCACAATAAATAAATATTTCTAAACACTAAATATAATTTAAGACCTCCAACGGGTTGCGGGTACTGGCATAGAAAAATGTAAAAGAAGACAATATTTAATGTAGTGTTTAACATTTAATGAATACTAATGAGTACAAACTATTTAATGCAAATAATTTTTAGTATTCAGAAACATTTGTATGCTTATGAAGATGAAACTCACGGCCTTCTTTGATGTGTGAAATTTTGTAATCATCGTATTCACAAGATATAACATTTTTTAATTTTACTCAAAAACTGTGGTCTTCAGTAAAATTTTTGAAAGAGAACAATTTTTCAATCACGCTCTCATGCTTGCATTTTTTAAGAGACAATTTTGGCGCTCTCTGTAAGTATGAGATTAAAAAATTAAATTTGGTACCAATATTACATCTGGTTTAGAGGTTATTAAAAAACCATAGTTAATAGGTCATTCTTAAGTTGTTATATTTTCGTAAGGAATCGGATTTAATCCATACTTCATTTGAACTTCTTGAGTTATCGTCAAATTAAGGGACACCATTACAGACAAGGTGTTTCAATTTCTTAAAATATCAGAACACCATAATGTTGATTGACTACATATATGAGTTATATGACTGACTACTTCAAATGTTTCTAAAGTATATCGTTTTCTGTAAAAATATATACCTATCTATACATTATCTTTCTAATGATATAACTAAAATATATTATTTTTTTCTGATATTATATTTTACATATGATTACATTTTGTTCCAATCCAATATCTCAATAGTCAGTAAATAAATTTAAAAAATAATTATGTAGTTAATTTATAGGTAGGTACATTTGTTAATATTTTGCTGACAATAACAATTGTTTGTTACTTCAAGTTTGATAACGAATATAAGCAGTTGAGGAATTATAATTTTGCACAAATCATCATTTGTTGATCGCAATTCTAGAAGGTACATATTATTAATATTTATATAAAAATGAAAATGTCTATTTTAAGGTAAGTCATTAACATCACAGGAATATTTACATAACGTTTCAACCCCCTTATTTTTTTAAATTTTCATCTAAAAAAATGATAGACGTGATAGTTTTAGAAAATTTTCCTACGATCTCAAAAAATAAAAAAAACAATTTGATGTAGCTGCATTTAGGAGATATAAACTAACCTAGTGTTTTTTTTTAATTTCCTGTACCTATATCTATTGCTATTTGAAATCCTCTTATTCTTACAACATGATATACAAAAAACTTTGTTCAAATACATATATGTCCTTTGTTTAGACCACATTTCATAATAAGGTATGTATTTTTTAATACAGAATTTAAAGATTTGTTTAGTAAGTTAGCAACGGAATGTTGACTATCTGATCTTGAAAATCCACATTACAAATCCCCGAAAATGCTTCGATTTCGCGATATAGTTAAATATATGTGATTAAAGATCACCAATGGTGGAGATATTGAGAAGCACTGACCTTAAGAGTGCTAGAATATTCACGCTACTGAAAAAAAAATTATAGGAATTTTTGTTGAAAAAACAATTTTAAAGACAATATAATCATATCCAAAGGAGTCATTGATGTAGGAATTTTTAATTTTCTAGAGGATAGTAATTCCCTAAAAAATTCAAAATTGCTACGTTACCGATTTTTTTTACGTGTAAAGGTTACATTGTTTTTGAAATTGTATTTCTAACACAACAATTTCGATAATTTTTCCTTATGGGACGAATAGTTTTGGAGTTATTTTCAATTTTTCAACTATGGTGTAAATAATAACTCAAGAATGGCTCGTTTTTCGAATAAAATGAGTAACATTTTTGTTGGAATTAAATTTTCTTACCCAATTTCCAAAATTTTCAGTGCCGCTGAAATTGTAGGGTTCTTAGAAACGCCACTGCGTTGGCGGATTTGTGTACCAACTCAGCAAATTTATGTCCATACCTAATTAGTCATCTTATAAGATATTTAAATATATGTGATTTTTTTATATTTCAACACCTATATCTCTGAAAGGTTTTTTAAATTAAATTTGGCAGAGTATATTATTAACACCCTGTGTATTGTCGTAATCACAAAGAAAAATTCCTAAAACTTCGGTCTTTATCATTTTTGTCTTGATAGAAATGTAAGAAAGATGACAACAATTTTTTCTTTTGTCCTTCTTATACACTACACATATATTCTTTGACTGTGCCAATATATTAACCATAAATGTAATGTGTTTCCAAGAAAGCCCTTGTTTGTCTACGAAGTATCTAAAATACATAGAGCAGGGCAATCCATTTAAATCATGTCTACATGTCTGTCGCCCGTCTACTTCAAGCCTATCGCTTATCGTCTACCGTTAATAATCCATGTAAACATGAAAGGAAATAGTTAGGTTCGCCTAGGGCTATTTTGCAGGACTTATCTTTTTAATATAGTCGTAAGCGGTTGACGGCCAGGTAACATCAACATGGGTTTCATGGAAACCTGCATTAACGTTTTTACATAAATAAAGATCTCCCTTGATAAAAAAGTATATTTCTAAACAATTCTCAAAAATTTTACATGTACATAAAAAAATTTCATTTGCAGCCCGTGCGATATTTGTCGAGATATAATTCCAGGAAGACCCTTGCGTCACTTTCTTGGAATTAACCGCATTCTACATCCAAGGTAGAAACACATTGGCGGCGTGGCGTTCACGGTAGCAGCTTGCGGTGCATACTGTGTTTTGCAATTACTAAGGCGTGTTTCTTTGTAAGAGTATCGTCCTGTACATTTTCAGAGTAATTTTTTACTACAATAAATCAATGAAGATGAAAAATAAAAGAAAGGAATTTAATTCCCAGTCGAAGAGTATCATGTGTAATTTGTATACTAATTTTAAGACAATTTTTCCAAATGAAAATAAAATATAATAAAAAAACCGTGAATTTAATTGTATTATCTTCCAGTTGATTTATGATTTGGCTTGGTTTGTATGGATAGCTGTTATCATGACAGATTTTCTGAATTCTAAGTTGGTGATATTAAATTTTGTCAATGAATTCCAATTTATTGCTGTATATCTGCAACTTTATTGTAAAACTTCCAATTTGTTGCACAATTTATTGGATGAAAAATTGTTAAATATAAAACAGATTTAACACCGGTATATTACATCATTTTATAAGCTTTATGTGCAGCTTATTTCATATAAAAAATTGTGAATACTTTTC